AAAAAAAAAAAAACCCAACCAAAACCCACCCAGAAAACAGAGGAAGTTACGAAATTGTTTTCCTCTCATGTCACTGCCTTGACTGCACAAAAAGGCTCTTTATCTGGTGCATTTTTTTCAAGCCCTGGTTAAACAACGTATTTATCAGACGTGTTTTTCACTGATGAAGAAGAATCAAACTTGTAATGAAGCCACACGATGATGTCAGATCCCAACTACTAACCTTCTTTCGGCTAATTTACCACCAAATCTGCCTGAACCTCAATCAGCTCACTCACACGTGTGTGTTAGAAATGAAACCACACGAGCCCAGGAACAAGAAAACAAATATTAAGCACGTGAAAGACAGCAATGAGAAAAACCCACAAGACTGAGATCAGCAAAATAAGAGATTAGTAATACAGAGAAAGTCTTGTAAGACCACACACCATGGAAGTCTGTGAGTAATTTTTAGTTATGGGAATGTTACGTGCACTTTCAGGAAAGAAAATATCCTAATTTGGAGATGCAAACTTGACTCCACATGCTGTTTCCTGAACCAAGTTTAGTTTGATTTAAGATTCAAGTTTAATACGCACTTCCAAAGCTAAGTTTTAGAGAGGTTTTAGAGTCGGCAGGGAAAGTTTTCTAGTTTTAACCTTTAAAAAAAAAAAAAAAAAAAAAAAAAAATTCACTACCAGATCCTAATCGTATAGAAGCCAAAAATGCATACTGTGCGAAAGTCCTGCTCAAATTTGTACGCTCCACCTCCCGTGGCACATAAGGTAGTATGGAGGCTTGAGAAGTGTTTTTCGCTTCCCATTTGAATAAAAGCAGGCATGTCATGAGTAGGAAAGCGTATAAAGTGCAGATTGCCTTTACGTCCACACAGGGTAAGGTCCTTTAGCTCAAGGTGCACATCCCGAATGCCTGTAGATCCGTAGGCTACATTTGATGTCAGGTATTTGCGGATGCTTTTGAGATTTTCCACTTCCTCCTCCTCCTCTTCAGCGGTGATGTCCTTTGGTTCAAAATAAACAAGTTTGACCAAGGTCCCTCCAATATCCAAGCCAAACCAAGGGAAGACTAAAGAGAGGAGGAAAAAAAAAGAACAAAAGAAAAGAAGAGACAGATACTGTTATACCACCAGCAAAATACTTATGAATGAATTCACGCAGCTCTCTAGGGACTCCCAAATGCCGGCCCGTTTGATCTATTCATTTCTAAAGTGGAAAACACAAGAGAAAACGTTAGCGGCCTGGACTGTCTTTCACAAGTGTGGCTGAGACCCCTCCGTCCATGGACTTAATTCCTGTTTTGAGCTGCCTCGTGTTCAGGAGCTCCCGACATCTGATACGAAATCCTCGGAATACCCACACCACCGCCACACGCAGCGCAGGTCTGGCGGTACCCTACACCCGCTAGGTACTGCTGCAATTTTAATCCCCAGCTATTTCTTTTATAAAGTTCTGATCTGGAGCCAGAGCCAAGCATAATACCGGTGCTTTTACATCAAAGGGATGTACAAACGTTAACTAATTACAACACATAACTGAGGTAGACAAGTAATCTAAGATGCCCCAGGGAAACAGAACCAAATGTCTAATTGGATTATTTTATTAGTCAAATTCCCCCACGGTACAAAATATGCATTAGTGTCGGGCCCAGCAACACTTACAGCTGTATTAGATAATGAGCTTCTTGGAAAAGATCAAGAGAAAACCCTGATCAGATGGAATCTGCGATTAGAGCCGAGAACTGGAACAGATTAATATTACTATTAATGAGCTGAAGGATGGGCTAGAGCTAACAAGATAGACGGGCTCCAGAGCAAAGAGAAAAACGTAGCCACATGGTATGGCTTACAGCAGGAGGATTCAACCCTTAAGTTTTTTTTTCCAAAAGGAAAAATGGAATGTTTAGAAAATAAACCTGAACGCAGCATAAATGTTACTAACGTTCCTCTGGAAAGAAGGATCTCGGGTTTTAGGAAAATTCTTACACGTCAGAGACGGGCGTGATAACACACGCTGCTGTTATTTTTGCAAAATGGGTTTGCTTATCTGCAGACAGATAAGCGAAGTCCTCGTTCCTACCGCCATTTGAAAGCGGGTATCCCTCCGGTGAGAGGTGGGGAAGAAGCAGCAGCCAGCCCCAGAACGCAGAAGGGGTGCACACCGAGGCCTCGCCACTCGAGCTGTGGGAGAAGGAAGCAGTCGGAGAGCAATACCCAAATACCCAGAGGCAGCACTTAAGAAAGCTGAACAGCAAAGGAAACAACCCAGGGGCAGGAGGGAAACTCACTCCCAGACTGAAAGATCTTTGAGAAGCCACAAAGCCGACAGGCAAGCGCACGTTTGAAGACGACGTATTCTCTCCTCGGCGGGTTAACTTGGCTGCTGCACAGAGCGGAGGCAAGACAGGCCCTTTTAGAGCAGCACAGCTCCCCAGGAGCTGCTACAGCCATCAGCTACCCACGTTAATTTTAAAATAAGGAGTTATTTTTATATATTTACAGAGAGGCCACCCCCAACCATCACCAAAAGAAATCTTGAAAGAGATGCAAGCTCTATTTTAGGAGGCACGTCCAAATCTCAATCATCCTCTATTTCCAATGCATTTACTTCAAACAAGAACAGACGTAAAAATAACTCTTCATGAATGAGAGAGAGGGGGGGAAAATCTGAATCACGGCCCAATAGAGGGAGAATGCAGGAGCAATTCAGGGACTTTAGACAATTTCTCAATCTGCACTACTTAAATGAACTTCAGGATTGCAAACTCCATCAGCATTTCAGGAGGAAAAGTCTACCTAGGGCTTTACTTGGAGAAAAGTTTAACTCAAGTATCTTATTTCAAGACTCCCTCAAGAAAACCTTACTATAGCTAAATTAGAGTTAAGTGACTTCTCAGAGGAACGTTGGCTGCCCAGGCCTCGCCACGCCACGTGAGGGGAACCACGTCCCTGGGAACACCAGACCAGGAGGAGCACCCTCAGGGGAAGGGGAGTCCAAGACCCCAGAGTATACATGAAGGGAAAGGCAGGACAAACTCCAGGATTTCTATACCCCCAAAATTTTGAAAGGGTCTTCTCATGGAGGAGTGCGGCAACAGCAGCTGAGCTCCTACACCTTTCCCTGTGAGCAGAGAGAAGTCAGAGGGCACGACTGCTCCGACAGGGAGATGGACACTCTACTTCTGCACGGCAGAGCACCAGGACAGCAAACACAACCCACCAAGCGCCCGCCTGCTTCACTCACCTGCTCCTCCTGACACCTTAAACCTAAAAACCTGTACACAGGCCTACCTGATGCGATATTAATGCCATCTCCAACATGGCATATACATCCATACACCAGCAGTCCCCATATTAATGGCAGAATAGGACCCCTCTCAAAGCATTTTGTCTTTCTGTCTTTCAAAGGCCTAGATTTATCAACTAACTGCTGCAGAAAAATGCTTTGAATAAGGATCATTGCCCTGCTATTGAGAGAAGCAGCAATAAAAATACCATCAGCATCACACAGGTAAAAATAGGGCATTGGCAGCCAAACCAGAGCCTTCTGCTGCTGCTCCAGTCCCTCCAGTGACTGGAACTGGTAAGTACTGCTCTATTTACATACCCAGTTCACGTATAGGATCCCTAAACCCAGTTTCCCCATGTTCACTGTGCCTTTCAATACCGCTTAAGCTCTGTTGGAAAACTAGCAAGCTCTGTGCAAGGAAAGGAACGGGATGAGGCTTCCCACATTACTCAGCCTCCTGAGTGTCGTGGTCACCAATGTCCTCGACTCCCTTTTCACAAATTTCCCACTCTTAAAAGCACTCAGCTCTTTTGTTGTCTCTGCTCTGACAGAGGGACTGGTTCCAGTAACCTCCTGTCTTGGGGCTGGGAAACCTCCTTTTGATTTGTGGAATATATATTTTTCTGTATTACGAAGCTTGCACTTCATTGCTTGCACAAGCATCCCCATCCTCGTATTTAGAGACAGCAATCCTCTCCCCAGCCTCACTTTGCCAGGCTACACAAAGGGCAAAACCAAGGAGAGAGCAGAGGATGGGGTCTCAGAGATGCCCTCATCGGGATGCAGCAGAAAAGCATCCGAAAACTAAGGTACGGTGCCCTGCTGAAGCCACACAACTGGAAATGCCAGACAGGCTGCTTCATCACAAGCTAACGGGCATCCACTTCAGGGTAGACACTCAGCTGGTAGTACGTGCATCCCTTCAGCAGAAGCACACGAGTTCATTTTAAAGTTGGTTGTGAAGTTCAGCGCACCGAACTCCTACATTCAGGGACACAAACATTCCAGATTGCAGGGCATGAGAATCACCAACTTGGTCCATCAGTTTAGGAAGCTTTCCTCGTCACAAAAAAAAAAAAAAATTAAAATAAAAAAATAAAAAAA